GCATCACAGTCAAGGACGCTACAAGTGTCTATTTGATACTTTTCACAAAGTAGCTCCTCCTTTTATCATTTAAGTAGCCTGATTAATTGGCATTCTGAGATCCAACTACAACAAAAGTGTTGGTTTGCTAATACACAATTATCTGGTATTTCATTCCCAGTTAATTAAATAATAATAACAACAATCACTCAAGTACTGAATCTGCACGTTAACAACAAACACAATAATAAGACATGTGTATACTTGAGCATACATCAAACTGCTAAACACGTAAGCATAAGGGACAACTTTATTTGATCTCTCTTACTTCATCATAAGGACATTATACCATTGAGAGTTTGCCACTTTAACAAACAATGCTTACTAGGAGAACAAGAATACATACTGAACCTGTTCGAAACAAGAACAATATAGTTCTCTAAGACGACCAAAAAATGCACTTATCCTTGTCACGGAGAATCTGCATGCCTAGAACATAAGAGGCTTTTTCAAGATTCTCAAACCAAAGTGACTCAGCGACATGCTATTCATCTTAACCAACAGGTCAGAATCATTAAGCACAAGCAAGTTGTCACCGACATAAAAACATAAACATGCAACTGCTCCCACTGACCTTACACATATGCATTTATCAACAACGTTCTCCATAGAGTTAATTTTAGTGATTGTCTCATCCTAAAATTGAGACATTACTGCCTCGGTGTTATCCATACACTCCCACTCATCATAGAGTTTCTCAACACTCTAATGGAGCTAGGAAACACATCCATTCTCAAGGTTATGTCCGTTTCATCATTAATAGATTCATCACGAGAGATCATACCATATATAATGACTTGTCACATTTAACATCAAGATAGTGAAGATACAAGGATTGCTCAAGGCTAAAGAAAACAATAAGGGCAACGAACAATAGGCATGTAAAACAAGATCGTGCAATTTGCCCTTTACTTAGCCTTCCCAATGATCCAAGCCAATATGATCATTGTGTGCTAGAGTCCGTTGAGCAAGAATAGAACTCTTTCACAGGTAAGGACAATTCATCAAACATCACAACTAAATGCATCAATCGACCACCGATAGGGTAGTAAAGATGATGCAGTTCATGACATCCAACAAACTTCCTTCACCAGTCTAAGTATCCTACCAAGCAATTAATTATTGATAGGATAATTTAAGTATTATCGATAAGATCATATAATTTGCCCTTTACTTAGCATTCCCAATGATCCGAGCCAATATGATCATTGTGTGCTAGAGTCCGTTGAGCAAGAATAGAACTCTTTCGCAGGTAAGGAGTAAGAACAGTTCATCAACATCACAACCAAATACATCAATCCACCACCAATAAGGTAGTAAAAATTATGCAGTTCATGACATCCAACAAACTTCCTTCACCAATATAGATTAATCAACAAGAAAAACTGTTTATATGGATATGTATTTATTTTCTTAAAAAAAATAAATATAGACCTGATATTCATACAAGATTTGGTTTTTCAAAGGAAAAGGTATGCTACATAATCCAATTATAGTTTTTTTTTTCCCTTGTTTGAAAAGAATCAAGACGTGATGATTTAAACAAATACGTGTCCATTAAAGGGTCCATAAACACCAATTAAAATGGTTTATTTTTTTGTGTTTTTCTTAATTTATTTGTTATACAATTCAAGATCTACTTTGTACCCTTTTAAAGTCCACCTCTATTCTATCCTACTTCATTTTGCATGATCTTCCAGTCATTGATCCAATTGAAAGTATTTTACTCTTCAGTTGCAATAACGATACAAGTATTCATTAAACAATAAATAAATAAATAAAGGAGTTGGTAGACTCACACAATAGTATGAGAGCATGACCTTGAGGCGACCAGATAGGAAACATAAGGAGAGGTTTTACAAGTTCATTCCAAAGGAAAGATAAAAATGCTTGGGAAGAATATTAACAAAATGTTCCCACTTCAATGACCTTTATTTCCTTTGTAGTTGCACATTGTAAAAAATTAATGACATGTTTATGAAATATTCCAAGGCCAATTTTATAAGCACATTTCTGATTTGACTTTGTGCATTTTGCCAGCTACTAGGGGTGTAAATCGGCCGGGTAGGGTAGGGTTGAGCCGAAAAATTGAGCCTACCCGACTAGTGCGGGTTGAGAAAATTTTGGGCCGCGACACTCTCTTAAGTCTACAAACCCGCAACCTTTCGGGTGACCTCGGGTAGGGTCGGGTTACTCGGGTTGGTGAAAACCAATTTTAATCTATGACTTCATCAATTTTAATCAAGAGGCTCTTATATGCAAATAAATGATAAAATAATATTGTAGTAAATGAGCAATAAATGATATATGCAAATACTATTGTAGTAAATAATTACACAACAAAATTGCGGCATAATAAAATATAAAGACTAATAACTCATATCACAATATGCATAAAGCAAGAGTGATCTCAAGGACCACATGATCACTTTTTAGTTAATTAATCTGTGCTTGTTACATGAGAAATCATTATCAAACAGAACATGTTTTTCCTTCAATAGGGGGTCTAAATGCAAGGTGAATAATTAAAACACTCACTTTGAAATCAAACACTTCCAATATAAATAAAGAATGTCCTAATTCAACAACTATGGCATACAAGCATTTTTTACACAAATCGTGAATCCAAAACATAAATAAGTTAACAGTTTAAAAGCATAAAGTTCATAAACTTATGAAAGTAAGAATTTGAAGTGTTGAACATTGTTTTACCTACTTTGAACATGTTCGGCCGGGTAGGGTTACATCGGGTTCATGTAACCCCACCCCGCGCCCCTACCCGCGCAGTGCGGGTTAGGTATAATTCAAACCGAAAATTAAATAAAAAATTAGAAACCCGTGATTTTCGGGTAGGGTCGGCTCGGCTCGGCCGGGTTCGTCGGGTTCGGGGTGATTTCTTACAGCCCTACCAGCTACCATTTGCCCTTTGCCAATTTTGACATCTAAGTTTTATATATTTATTAATTGTCTACTTGTTTTTCCTTACACTATTTTGACTTCTAAGTTCTAAAGCCTTGAAAAGCTAACCCTTACCTGCTAGCTAGTTCTAGGAAAAAGGGTTTATAATTGGGTTAAGGACGTCATAAACTCTGCGCTCCACATGGCCACATTAACAAATAATAATAATAATAGCAATAATAATAAGAATAATGATGATGGTGATGATGATGATAATGAAATAATATTATTTTTTCCCTGTTGGAATAATAATTAAACAAATCGATGACCCAGTCTCCATTTCCTTTATTTACGACCTTTGAGTTGTGCCAAGGTTTTGCTAAGCAGTTCGATGAAGGATTAATAAAAAAGCATAAAGAAAGAAATACTATTATATACTGAATAAATAATATATATATATATATAATTACTGAACTTTTATTTTTAATAGTGTATAGATCTTAATTTTTATTATTT